CTTTCCCTATCTTCTCCCTTGAAAGGTTTCATCAGCTGGATCAGCTGGAGAAACACCTGCTCTGTCCACATGCTGGAGAGACTGCCTGCGTCCTCCTCATCTATCAAGGAGATAGATAACATCTCAAAAACAGTCTTTAGTCACTACACTGTCCCTGTCCATGACAGCTGGAGTCTTAACTGAAACACAGAGGAAAGAAAATCTAGAGACTGGATCTTGACAGAGGCTCTCTGGCCAAGAGCTGGGCTGCAGGGGAAAATCCAAGTACAGCTGAGGAGTGAGGCTCACTGAACCATCTGCATGATTGTTCTTTATTATCTTGAATGCTTGCTATCGCCTGATGATATTAGCATATTTGCCATGTTAAATCTTTCCTCCCATTGATTGCAGGACTGTTTATATTCCCAGATAACTTCCCCTGCCACTGGGAAATCCAGCCACTTGGTAGCTTGTGTAACAATGTAGACCATCAGCTTGAAGCAGTTCAGGAGAGAACTTGCATGTATCCATGCTTTAGATTAATTCCTGTGCTATTTCAGGAGGCTGTTGTTTGCAATGAATATTAGCTGTCAAAAGAGGCTCATTCTTTTCTCTCTCCTCCCTCACCTTTCCAGTTCTGGCAATATGGCGACTGGGTGGATGTAGTGATAGATGACCGGCTGCCATTCCTCGATGGAAGATACCTGTCTGTACACCCTCGAACGTCAAATGAATTCTGGCCATCCTTGCTGGAAAAAGCATATGCCAAGTAAATATACCCGGTCTATTCTTCCACCCAGTGCTGAATGCTTTCTGCAGGTGGTTTCACCCTCTGCTTTATGCAAAACACACAGTTCAGGGTAAGAGCTGTGTGTGTTGTACTTAGGTGAGGAACCGTGGATGCATGCAAACACAGGGCCAACATAACCTGGAGATGTTGGTCTTAGGCTGAAGACCTAAATGTACCTGGTCCAACTCTGGGAAGTTAATGCCTGAGAAGGAAAATGAACAGGGGAATTGCTGGTGACACAAAAGGGGCTGGACATCTCCTACTTTAGGCAAACTTCTTTGCCTATGTTTTCATTTCCATATTTTCCTCTGTTTAAAACTGCAGTCACTAAGCAGGGATTCTCTCTGTTTACAGTCAGTAATCAGAGATCATGAAGATATTTGGAGCAGGCAATGAGAGGAAGCGTGACTGAAGAACGTGCCCAGGCACAACACATGCACTCCTGTGAGTCTCTGGTCAGCTCTCAGGTCACTTCACACAGAGAGCTCTGACTCTTGGCTCCCCAGAGTACTGCAGTGTTAATAATGACTAATAGAGAAATAATAATTTTTTAAAATCCTCTGAGGAGTGAAGGGATCAGAATGTTGTCCCTTAGCATCTATGACACTGCGCATTATTAGATGTGCTGGAGAGAAGTTCCTGTGCTAAGGGTAGTATGAAGGGCTGGAACTTGGTACACACACCCTACATCAAGCTGGTGTAACATTTGCAATGCAGTAAAGAGGGCCTGAAGAAAAGAGCTAATTATTTTGTCGGATTTGATCAAGAATAAGCAAATGTTAAAGCAGCATCTGAGAGACTCAGGAATAAGATGTGTTTAGCCCTGAGATACCTCAGAAAAGTTGATTCAGGATTTGGTGTCAGTTTGTTGCCTAAGATTTTAATTACAAAGCAAACCAAACCTCTATTAAATTAAAGTTGCAAGCGATGCTGTTTATGAGATTCCCATTTGAGAAGTTTTTCCCCAGTGCCCATGACAAATTCTTTTCATCAGTGTAGGACAAGGACAACCCTTCAAAATACAATTAGCAGCAGACTTCATTTGATTACATTCATTAAATACAGTGTGTATGGTGGGGTTTAACAGCATGCTCTACCTGCTCTAAGTACGGCATGTTCCAGCTTATTTGCTGTCTCAATAAAAAGCACACGATAAAAACAACAAGGACTGTGTTGGCAATATTAAATTATTATCCTATTACTGCACTCTAGCAGAGTGAATTTGGAACAGCGCTGAAAACTTGTTTCTGTCTTGCCTTGGGAGCACGGGCAAATACCTTCACCTCTGTCTTCTTCCTATTTCTCGTGTGCAAAAGGCCATTTTTGTGAAGAGTCATGACAAAGTATGATGTAGAAACTAACAGTTCAGCTCCATTTGAGCTGAAACATCCATTTGAACTAGTGACCCTTGGCTCCCTTCCTGTTCAGAAGAAGGAAACTGGATACTTAAAGATGAGATGCACCTCATCTCCCTAAAATGTCTGCATTGGCATGAGATGTGCCTTATTATTTTCCACTGTCTGTAAATGACTAGACAGCTTCTTCAGATGGGAGCGGATACATAGGAAAAGGTCCCTCTTTGCATCATTCATTCCACGGGGCATGCGTTGTGTCTGGTGACGTATTTCAATCACATTTCCTTTCATTACTTGGCCCAAATGTTTACATACCCCGTGCTCACCGCCTCAATGTGCATGTCCAGTTTGGAAACCATCACTGTAAATTGTATATTAAAACACAGTGTAAGGACTAATTAACTTTTTTCTTTTTTCCCCAGGTTAAGAGGCTCCTACCAGAACTTGCATGGAGGATACCTTTCTGATGCTTTAGTAGACTTCACAGGTGGAGTCCAAGTGCAGTTTTCATTGAAGGATCCCCCTACTTGTCTGGAGGAAATTCTGAAAGCAGCTGCCCAGTCTCGGTGTCTGATGGGGTGTAGCACCTCAGGCCAGGTGAGTCACAGGGCCAGGAGCATGCCTTTCTTTGTTTACCGTGTTCACATAAAGGTTGCTCTTTTAAGTGAAAAAGGAAGTCCATAATCATTCCCTGTAATAGTTGCAGCTTAAGGATACCTGGAGAGACCTTAGCAGTAGAAAGCAGGTGAAGTTACGCAGTAAGTAACTTAAAGGCTTTTGGGTAGATATAGGTGGATTGGTCTGTCAGAGAGGGGTCTGTGGCTTCTCTCCTGGCTAATTCCAGTGTGATAGTGGTATCCTCTTGCAGCAGGACTGATTTTGGCCTCATACCTTTGTGATTGATTCTAGCAAGGCGAAAATACACCTCTCTTCTACAAGAGGATGCTATTGCATTTTGATTTGCTGGCTACCAATACTAACGCTAGGAAGTTGCAAAAGGCTTTGTGATGCTCAGCGAGTATCTTGTTAAAAAGCTGCCAGGGCTTCCCTTACAGCACGTAAGGGAAGATTGCAAAGTCTGCGGCATTGCTTCTGTAGTGTCTGGTCCATCAGGACACGAAGCTTGGCTGTTGCAAACAAGCCACGGTCGAGTCCTTCAGCTCAACAATCACGTTCCTCTGGAGCCACTGTATCTGAGATACTGCGGTAGTCAAAACCAAGTCTCTCTTTCTGCCATACCAAACGATAGTTCTGGGAGTTGATGACCCTACTGTTGCAGCGTGGCAGAAAGCTAAATGTTGTGCTTTCTCCTTTCTGCAGCTGAGGAGGAATATAGAGCTGAGGAATGGGATTGTACAGGGTCATGCCTACACTGTCACAGGAGCTGCGAAGGTAAGATCAAGTTCTTTTTCCTGCCTGGTGATCTTGTACTGGTGATCCACTACAGGGCAGTCACACTGCTGTTCCATTCAGAGTAATTTTAATTAGCTTCACCCTTAGGAGGGATTGTTGAAATCACATTGTTCAAATTCCAGGACATGGAGGGATTCTGATACAATGGAAAGAGGGAGGATATCTGAATTCTATAATTTTTTCTAATGGAAAAATGCAACTTAAATTCATTTTTGTTTTGGGACACTTCAACAGCAAATACAGAATTTCTGGGGATTTTCATGCCATGCTGACTTTTAAAAAAACCACTTTTCTGTTTCAAATGGGAATAGAAGCACTGGCTGAAATTCTGGGATTTGTCATATGATGCAAGTCTACATTTGTTCAGCTCAATCACAAGCTGCCAGAAATCACTGTGTGAAAAGTAAATAACTCACTATTCCGAGAACAGCATTTCTCCATCTTTTAAAGCTGTTCTACTCATGCAGAACTTCTCCTGGCTAGATATTAATATTGCTGATCTGAAAACAGGACCAATTTATCACACAGATCAAAAGAAATGAAGGATTTTTTACAACCAGAAGTCAGAACGTGGCTTCCCGCAGTAAGCTGTAGTGCACACAGGGAGGGTCAACAGTGAGCAAGGCCAAGAAGAAAACCAAACAATGGTTACACTATCAAGCAAGATAGCTGCCACACATTTTAATCTAGGAACTTAAAGTATTTTGGAAAGGGGATGTTATTTTCTCTAAGCTATTTTGTCCCTTCTCTTTAATGGTTTTCCTTCTGGGCCTGGCTTTGGCTTATAACTCCTCATGCCATGGCATGCTTGGTGCCGTCATCATAGTCAGTGTGCTGCTTCTCAGAGGACACTTACTCATAGCCAAGAGTTTCACGCTGTTTCAGCTTCCTGCTGCTCATGATGTGTGCAGAGAGGAGAAACACTCTTTGCCCCTCCAGTGATTGCAGGAGGAGAAAAGCACAAGAAACTCCAGCTGCTGGAAACCACAATACTGTAGATACGGAGCTACACATTTTGTTTATCATCATCTCTCTGTGCTGACTGTTGACGTTCACTCCAGGCAGTTTGGTGACCTCCTTCATCACAGTCTTTGTCTTTGCTGACTCACAGCATCAGATGTGCAGGATTAGGCACTGGACTTGCCCACGGCTGTTGAAGTCATGTGGTGTGGTAGGAACGCTGCTGCCGCCTTTTTTGTCAGCTATTCACTGTCCTCAGGAAAACAAAAAGGGCACAGTTTTTTTTCCCCACATTCCTTTACAATGTAGCAAAAGGCACTGATTTTTAGCTGCAGTTAAATGAGACTAAAAGTTAAACCAGGTCTCCAAGGTGTAGAAGATCATCCATTTTATTATTCATGTCTTCAATGAATATTACAACTGTGAAAAGCTGTGACTGAATTTATTTTTCTTTTCTTTTTACAGATACGCTACAAGAATGGCTGGAAACATATCATCAGGATCTGGAACCCATGGGGCCATGGGGAGTGGAAGGGGCCTTGGAGTGATGAGTATGGTCTTAAAGCTTTAGTCTTATAAGGAAAATCACTATTTTATATGCTTATTGTAAAGGACTTCTTCCTTGCATCCATTATAATGAAGGAGACATTTTAAAATCAATTATAATAAGCTTTTTTTTCTACCTGCAAAGCCACTGTCCGCAGAAATCCAATCCAGGGAAAACTAATGCAGCATTGGTTTTATATGTGCTCCTCACTAGGCCTAGCTTTGGTATCCCTTTTTGTCTATGTGTATATTTTTCCCAGTGGGTAACTCCAGATAAGTCATGGATGAAAGAGTTGTTATTACCTGGAGTAAGCTCTGGCCATGTCCCCAGACACTAGCTGACTGCTTCTATGGAATTGTCCTGCAGCAAACCTTCCTGCTTCTCCTTCCCCTCCCATGAGTCTGGATCTGGGAATAGGATAGTTAGCAGAGTACATGAGAACAGGGCAGTATTTTTATGCAATATTGACCACAGAGAGACAAAAAGAGTCCTTGGTTATTGCAAAGGCAAAGCGGCACTGGATGACTTGAACTCATCTTTTGAATTCTGCATGCAGTTTTGGACATGCAAAGACCAGTTTGCTTCTGTGTGTATAAGCTAACCTCTCTTTCCTGAGGAAAGGAATGATACAGCGGCAGACTGCAACAGTGTTTTGTAAATAAACAGATGATAGTTTTTGTGGTGGAATTGCATCAGCGTTTTCCTGGATAGAGAGATGTTCAAGTGTCCCTCTTTGTGATTTAATAGCATCCCACCTCTCCCTGTTGCTAGGAGCACTCATAACTTCTCTGCTGAGAAAAGTCAGGCTAGTGTGTTGTGCCTGGATGGGTTGGCGGGTGGTGCAGACATGTTTAGGGCTGGGATAATAGCTATCTGCTCAGACAGCATCCTCCCATTTTTTGGAAGGGTGAACTATAATCCTAACTGTAATTGAAATGTCAGTAGAGCGCATTCACAGGTAAGCTGCATAAATCAATAAATTATTGATTCACGCTCTGTTTATTTATCTTACACACAGCAGAAAGTACAATTATCACTTAATTATAAACATGCTGCTTGGAAACAACACATTTGACTGGCTAATGTGTCCTCTACACATCAGTGTGTAGACTTTAGAGTGCTATGCCTTGCTATCTCACTGACCTCTCCAGCATAGGGACAAGCGACTGGGGCTTGGATGGCAGAGGCAGGATTCCCCATCCCCAGGGTGGGTGATTCAGACAGGCACAGCAAAAGCGCAGAGCTCTGTTTGCTGGCCTTGGCTATGAAGGTATCGAGTACAGTCCCGTTCCTAACGTGCAGTTTGCTCACCCCTCCTGATGCCTCTTTACTTGACAGGCTGGTTAGAGGAACGGGCTGGCCAGAGAGATGGAAAATTGTGCTTCACATCTGCTTGTTGATTTGGGTTGGTTTTTTTTTTTTGCAGCTCTCCTCAGTGGGACCATGTTGAGCCTCAATCCAGAGAACACTACCTCAGAAATAAGGATGATGGAGAATTTTGGTATTTCTCTGTTGATCCTTCTGTCTACCAAGTTTTCTGTTCGTGTTCATTATGAAAAAAGAGTCATTTAGGCTGTTCTGTGTTCTTACTGATGGCTCAAGGCACCTGGTGTTATCTGTGTGCAAACAGCGAATTGGAGGTTGTCCTGACCCCATGATTTCAGAGGAAACAAGACCTGGAGATACGAAGCTGGCCAAGATTAAGTAACAAGCTGGTGAAAAATATGAAAAGCGAGAGGAGTAAAAATCCAGCCCCCTGAGACTTAGTCATTTTGTCACACTGCCCTTCCCCATAGAGCACTTAACTCGAACCTTGGACTGGCTGGTGCTCAGAGGGGAGAGGTGGCTGAGCAGGTCATGGAGCTTGTGCACTTGGCTACTTTGCAGGTGCTTGTGTTTTTTCACTGCCTCTGATTACTCTCAGATCCAGGTTAACCATGTGTGAGCCATCCTTTAGAAAAGCTATTACTATTCAGAAAGTGCACACTTGCCCTGTGAGGCTCAGAGGAAAGCAGGGGAACACAGGCTGGTCTGAGAGAGACACTGCAGGCATGCAAAGAATGCATGCAGGGCAGGACACTGTGGAGGAACAAAGCAAGATGCAGTGGCAAGGATGTGCTGGAGCTAACAGGGCTCTACCTAGGTACTACTGAACATGCCCTGTAATTTCCCTTGGGCTGTAGATGCACTTAGGGTAGCCCAAATGCATTGAGAGCTGACCTCTTCTGCAAGGTACCAGCCAGCTCAGCTAGAGCCTGCAGTGCTCTCTGTAATCCTCTTTTAAAGACACAGGGGGTGAATGTGAGTACCTGACTGGTATCTCAAACTGAAAGGTGAGATTTTCTCCTTCTATGCAGGATGTCCTGTGAAAACTTCCAGGAACAGTTTTCCTGGCTGTATATATGTAACAACACCCCAACGTTTCTGGACTTTGGAGATCAGCACTGCACAACGTGGTCCGTGGACCGGCACATCAACCTGTGGAGTCCAGCCCTTGCCACAGGCAGGAACAACTATTCCCCAGGTAATGAATGCTTACTGCAGTCACCCAGTGCTCTCCTCCTCTCCGCTCGTGCTTACAGTGAAATGTTCGGTCTCAGCGCCAAATTGCAGAAATATTGATTGCCAGTTGTTAATGCCCGCCCTTTCGTGTTACAGCACCTATTAGCTAAAGAGGCAGAAACAAAGCAGCAACACTGGCTGCTGAGTTAAAACGGGGGACTTGTGATTTAGAAACCCTAAACTCTTTAAATCAAAATGTGCTTGCCTATCTTCTTTCAGCCAGTTACAGTAGGTGTTACTGGGGTCCTCATCAGAAAATCTAGTCTGGCAAATATGTGGCTGATTTTACAGAGCGAGAAATAGTCTGAAATTAAATGGATATGAAATGAAAGATTTCTGCTACATAGCTCTATTTTTGAAGGTAGAAAGTTCTTTGAGCAGAAAAGACCATTGGTTTTACTGCCTGTGCACAGACTCTTCTGGAATTGCGAGCTCTGGTTATTAGTATTACTTTTTAAAACATTTATCTTATCTTATTTTACTTTTCTACAGCTGCATCACTATTTGGGCTCTGTGTTTTTAATCTGAGATGGTAGCATGTGGTTAATGAAGGAGCTTTTTTTTCCGCAACGCTGATCGCTGACTTAGCAGAAAACAGGTTTTGGCTTACAGGTTTCAGCCTCCTCCTCCTAACCTTGATCACCATGTCTCAAGGGGTGATAACAAAGCAATGCCTGTGCTGCTGCACACTGTGGGCACTGGGAATGAGTGAGGAGGTGCAGGGGCTGAACTGAGAGTGTGTGGGCAGAACCATTTTCCTTGGAGCTGTGTTTTCCACCAGCCCTCTAGTAAAGTTCCTGTCCAAGTACAATCTTGGGCTAAATTGCAGCTTTCAAGGTCACCCAACAGAACTACATGGCTTAAAGTCTAGATACTTTAAGCAGATGCTACCATCTCAGTCCTTTTTCCCCAGTTTGGGCATTGTACTGCTTTCTTATCAGGGACGCTTCCTGTTAACCAAAACCTTGGCCAAGAAGAAGCCTTTCCCCTCTGGTTCTCAACACTCTGTCCTGTCCATCACAAACAATAACGGGAAGGAAAGGGAGGACGGCTTTGGACCATTTTGTCTTTTTCTTTTGTGTATTTATGATCTCCAAGCCACAGTCCTTTTCAGCTCAGCCACTGAGTCATGCAGCTGATTAAGAATGACTGCTTTTCTGCCTCAGGGAAAGCGTGCAACATAGGTGAAGCAGATGTAGGGGGGGTTGAGAAACCTGCATGACTTTTATGACTTTGCCAGTGATTTCTATAATGATTAATGCACAATTAGTTTAACTCCAGATGCCTCAACTCCTACTGGTAATGTAGAGACTACAGTGCTCTCATGTGTTGAAAGGACCTTGGAGCAGTAACTACATATTCCTCTGGGTCCATATAAGCAAATCTTACACAATAGGCTACCTCTGGCATATCTGTGTGGCTACTGTTAATCTATTACCACTTTCTCAGCAGGTGCAGTTTCAACAAACCCTCAGTATTTCTTCAAAGTGCCAGATAATGACACAAAAACCTATAATGTAGTCATTTCACTCATGCAAAAACATGCTGAGGATATGCAGGATGCAAAAAACCTGAAGACTGGCTTTTTTATAACTGGGGTAAGCACAATCAGGTATCATATAGGAATTGTTGTTTTCTGTTTGGGTTATTATACCTGTACATGGAAACAAAAGGCTGAGTTGCCCTTTGGGCTGTAAAAGAGCAGCCAGTATTTGGAGTAAACTTCTGGATGCCTTCTATCTTTGAATATCACAGGAAAAGTAGAGTTAGGCAGGCTTAGGTTCCTTTATTCATGTCTTAGGAGAGGAAAGGTTGAACTTTCAGTTCTGTAGCATCCTAAAATAGCCCTGGAAATCTCAGGGAGTTCCCAGGTTACAAGAGAGGGCAGAACAATATCCTCTGGCCCAACACAAGGCACGACAGCCAGCACTAACCACAACACTTGAGCAGTACTCCATGTCTAGTAGGGAAAAAAATGGCCTCTTGTTCCCCAAAATGGGCCTGTCTTATTCATCTTCCCTTTTCTATCACAGAAATGCCATGCAAAAGCCATTAGCGAAATTTGTGGAAGGCTTTGCTCAAGACCAGTGCCCAGGCAATTCCCTCAGATACCTGGGACCTCCACTACAATTTCCCTGGGTTTTTTTGTTTCTTGGTGACTGTCCAGGGAGGTGCCATTTCAAGGGCAGTTATTGTCAGAGCATTACCAGGCTTACTGAAAGCACAGTTTCTAGTGTGGATGGATGCCAGTCTTTTCTAAAGTGTTTTTGTTGTTGGCTGAGGGGGGTGGAAGGGGGTTGTTCTTAACTTGAAGAACAAAAGGAAGCGGAGATTGCTGTGACCCTAACTTCACACTCTCCTGCTCACTGGAGAGGTTTGCCATGGTCCCAGACTTCAAATAATTGATGCTGTAAGTCTAACAGCTCCTCATAAGGGAAGAGCACAGCTTTGTAGCTCATAAAAAACAGTGTCTGAGAAATAAAAGATGTAATAAAAAGAGCATTCCACCAGCAAGTGGAACTCACTATCCCTATGCAAGGAGATCCTGCCCGGTGCAGATATCAGCCCTGCAGGACTCCATGAGGCCAGCGGTGCCACTCGGAAGGAGATGCTGCTCCTGATAAATGAGGAACTTGCTCCCTCCAGCATCCTTATCAGACGTTCTCCAACAGTCACCAGGCATGGAGGTCCCTTCATACTCTTGGCTAGTTACCCATTTTGACAGAAAAGACCCTCACTGAGAGGTGATGGCATAGGTCTTGGGTCCCTTGAAAAAGACATGGTTTAGTCAGGAAGTAGACTAGAGGACAATGTGCTCTATTTTTGCTTTATATTTAAAATGTCTTTCTTCCCCTCCAGTGGATGCTCACATGTCTTCATTTCACAGAATCACAGAATGGTCAGGGTTGGAAGGGACCTCTGGAGATCATCTAGTCCAACCCCCCCGCCGGAGCAGGGTCACTTACAACAGGTTGCACAGGATGGCGTCCAGACGGGTTTTGAATGTCTCCAGAGTGGGAGACTCCATAACCTCTCTGGGCAGCCTGTTCCAGTGCTCCACTACCCTCAAAGTAAAGAAGTTCCTCCTCATGTTAAGATGGAACTTCCTATGTTCAAGTTTGTGCATGTTACCTCTTGTCCTATCACTGAGCACCACTGAAAAACTTTAGTTTTTCTTTCTTTTGGTATATTCCCAAGCATGAATGAAATTCAATAAGACATGGCCTCTGTGGACTGTCAATCCATGGCTCATCTCAGGCTCAGTTTGGGCTTCTCATCTGGGATGATCTCCTACACAGGAGCTGAAGGGAAAGGCCAGAACAGGCCATCACTTTGGGGCACTGGATTATTGTGGAGCACCAGGTCAATGAGGGAAAAGGGGACTGTCATGCTGCTCTGTCACACCATAGCTTTTAGTAATGTAATGGCATTGGTACACAGCAGATAATACAGAAAATATTCCCCCATGGACACAGTAACATGACAGCTGGGCTACCAGCTGCTCACAGCCAGCCCAGCGTCCTGCCCTGATAGCAACAAAAGCCAAATCCAGGAGCTAAAACCAGGGTAGTTGTACAGTGCTGTTCCCTCAGTTTATTTCACAATGTGTAGCCTCAGTACCTGAGGCCAGTCAGCGGTGGCATCTTTACGTAAAAGTTTACAAGGGATTTTCTTTGTGCAAAGAGAGTGCTAAGATTCATGTGGCTTCACTCTTCCTCTCTCAACTGCTTTCACTGCCATTACTCATTAGCAGCATCGTTCATTGTTCAGTACCTTTTGAGATGCATCAAATTGTTGCTGTGAAGTAAAAAGAGTATTATCCCTTGGTAAGATGAGAGAGGAATGCAGTGCAGGCAAGGATGCAAACCAGAATGGACATATCTGATAGCTCTAGGAAGCCTTTGATTAAATATAGACGTGGAACACTAATACATGGCTGTGAGGGAAGTTTAATGCTGTGTGATAGAGCTGAGCAATGTATAGAGGCTGATTCTTATCTCACACCGGTTTTGACTCCATTGAGATATTAATCTGCTTCTACTTTTTACTAGAAGGAATGTGGAATGAGACCCAAATGTAAAAAAAGGATTACACCATTTATTTCTTTGCAGCACTGCCCATTTCTATCTATTCAAGATCCGACCCATAATACTTGGCAGTCTACATACCTCCCAGCCGCTTGTAACAGTAGTCATCTTTTCTTTTTTTTCCTCCCAAAATAGCAGTTTTATGTTATTTTCTCCCAAAGGCATGGCTCATAAATAACTCTGCCACGCTGTATAACCATTCTAAATGGAATTTATACACGCTGATGTATTTTGGGGAATATGTTTAGTAAGGGGTTTTTATTATGCTATCTTTACATGTCATCATAGTAATAGCTGTTGCATTATATTTGTTTCATCTCAGCAAAAATACTGAAATAACCGAAGAAAGATCAGAATATTCTGTTCTCTTATGACACTTGCTGGAAGGTTTGAGTTGTGGTTTCTGAAGCGCTGTCATCTGGGTGAGATGCTTAATGAGCATCTGACCACTCTGAGTCATGCTAGATCTCAGGGAATTTTTAGTAAGAGTATTCATCCTTGATTTGTTCATGAACTCCAGTCTGCTTAATGTTAACTGGGGTTCTCTTCAAGTCCACTTACATACATGTTGCCTTCTGTTTCTCTCACTTCTTCCGCCCTTGTACATCTTTGATGTGTCCTTGAACAAAGTCTGTCACCTGGATAGACTTTTCGTGCCACAGGGGGGATCAAAGCATGCTAGATGCAGTGTGTATTTAGAGAGCTGTAGGAATGTAAGGCTGCTGTGAGTGCACTTTCTGATGTACTTTGGTTCCTGACATGAAGGAGCGGTAACAGCTATACTTTTCTTTCAGGAGAACTCCAAAGTTCTGAAACAAAATTTCTCCCTGACTCGAGATGTGACCAACTACTTTCACTTGAGCCCAGGAACCTATGCTGTCATTCCGGCTACAACAGAGGACCAAGAATTTGAATTTCTCTTACGAATTTTTGTGAAGAATCAAGACTACAATGAGTAAGATGATAAGTACTCCTTGTAGGCCCCAGACTTACAGTGTGCCAGGATTTAACAATTTAATGTCAAGATAACTAATGTGCCAATTTGATTTTAACATACTCTAGAAGTGTGTTGGGAAGACACAGCTGAGTATTAAGCACTGTGTTGAGGGGGATCAGATGTAGAATCAGATGCATAGGGGTGGCCACTGCAGAACAGGGCAACAGCTCATCTGCAGCCACCAAGGGTCTCAGGTTTGGTACAAAGAGCCACACAAGCAAGCAATAATTGTGAGATATGCCCCCCCTTGGTTGTGGGGAAATCTCTCTTTAGTGAAAGGAGGGCTGGGACCTTCTTTTTCTTAACAGCTGCTATGTAGTTTCTTATGTTGTGCGGGCTGGATGCCAGATGGGTCAGGTCCCATTCTGCTCAGAGTGGGACCTAGAGAAGAAAAGAGCAGTGAAAGGGCCTTGATCCTTTCACCCAGCCATCTAATAGACAGGCTAGTAAGGCTCCCTGTGGGTATGAGAGGGGTCTTTAGGATAAGTTTAATGAAAAAATAGTAGGGTAGTTCATGTAAAGGCTGCTATTATGACATTTTCACATAAATATCCGGGTGTGCTTTACGTAAAGAGCAAACTCCAGCATTCAGCCTTACCAAAGACCTTCAAGCATCAGATGTGCAGTATCTCTCATTCAGCAAACTTTATAGTGGAGGTGGTTGCAGCTCTTACCTCATCGGCCTGTATCTTAATAATGAGATTGCTTTCTAGGCTTTGGCCACTGGCAAAAATAGCTCAGAACTGACTAAGGCAACTCCTTAGTTATGGAAAACAAACATGAGAAGTCCATGCTCTGGGCTGGACTGCCTTCAGCATGATGAGTCATGCATAGGATGGCTCAGCCTTTGGAGGTAGGTCTTTCCAGGAGAACCTGTGACCCTCACACACCTTCCTGAGCTAAGACAAGTGTGGAGTCCCCTTTCTGTGGGTCTCTGCAGCACTCACCTATATAATAGCACAGATGCTATAAAAATAGCATCTGGCTTGCCTAATTTCCCTACTAAAAGCAAAACTCCAGTATTGAATTTTGCTACTAAGCAAGTCTCAGAAGGAATAGTGACCCCAGCTCAATCTCAGGCAGTCTGCAGACATTTAAATGGTGTTACCTTTTAATAGCCCAGATGCTGGTTTTATTCCCGACTATTAAACTAGTCAAAGAGAAAGCAGGTGAAAATTTTATGTGGCTCAAGGGGGGGAAGCCCTGTCTTCTGTGTGGTGAGGTTAGTCATGGTGTGCTCACAGTGAGACAAGTTACCCTTTCTCTTCTGCTGATGCCAGCAGGGCTTACTCAGGGAAAGCAGTGGCCTCAGAGCAGCCAGACACTCAGACCTGCTCATGTCTGGTTGCACAGAGACCTGGGACTGGTGCAACAGGCTTGACTGAACTGCAACAGGCTGGGAGACGTGGGCACTGGGCATCTTGTGGGGCCATGGGCTGGGCAAGCGTTCCTGTTGGTGCCTGCCTTCTGCCACATCTGCAAATCAATACTCTGAAAAGGCCCGTTCTCTCCCAGTTTGACTCTTGTAACTCTTTTCTAGGAACACAAACTCCCTGCCCAGCCCAGTCCTGCCGATGGTAAGAATCTGTGAAAACTGATGTAGCTACTGGTGGTGGTTAATGGTTCTCAGGGAGCTGACCTTTTGGTAGCCACCTCTATTGACTCCTTTTCCTCCTTCCCTACATACCAGACACCACTTTGCTCTTCCCTCTTTCACCGCCCAGTACCTGTCCCAGGGTTTGACTCTGGCACCCTGTGACCTTTCCGGGAGACCAGGTGACCAGCTAGGGTACCTCTCTGGAGAGATGAGAGTGACAAAAAAGCACTTCCTCTTCACACGTGCCTCTTTCAGAGCCTGATTTTTGAAGGAAACAAATCTTTTATAGTCCCTCTGTTGGCCTGTCCATCTGTCCTTTCCACTTCACCATCTTTAACATTTTGACGAACCAAATGTAGCAGGGAGGAGAGGACTTCAAAGACACTCAATTCTTGCAGTGTCTGTAAAATGGGTATGTATCCAAGGAGGAGAGAGGGGGAAAACTTTTATGAAAAAGTCACAAATTGAGTTTGACCTCTTTTAAAAACACCTCACACCTGAGAGTGGGGTCATACATGCCTTCCCTGTGGGAATGGATTCATTTAAGTGCTTGCACCCTATAAAGCACCGGAGCCCACGGTGGTGAGCTACCCAGCTACCATCTGTTGCTGGACTTCCTCTCTGTGAACTGTGCAAATTACCAGCCCTGATCCAGTCCATGCTGCTGTCTCAACTGGTTGCTCTCAAAAACCTGCAGCTGAGAGGCTGTTATATATAGTGCAAACTTAGTGCAGATCCTTGAAGCCAAAGGTGTAAAGCTGCTTCAGGAAAAGAGGAAAGAGTGTCCTTTCCTTGTGATTCATTTTCCAGCCTCCAATTGATCCCCATTAGAGGGGTAGTGTAAATGGTGGCTCATTATCTCTTTCCACTGTCAAGCTGTCAGTTTTCTCGGCTGTTGTCATTAGCCAATGTTTTGACTTTGGCGAATTATGGTACCCGCATTTTCTGCTCTTGTTCAGGCACTTGGGCTTCAGTGGTGTGAATTAGAATCATAGAATCCTTTTGGTTGGAAAAGACCTTTAAGATCAAGTCCAACTGTTAATCTAGCACTGCCAAGTTCACCACTAAACCATGTCCCTAAGCACCATGTCTACCTCCAGGGATGGTTACTCAACCGCTTCCCTGGGCAGCCCATTCCAATGCTTGAAAACCCTTTCAATGAAGAAATTTTTCCTCATATCCAATCTAAACCTTATCTGGCGGAGGAGAAGTTTAGACCGGATATCTCAGAGCCCAAGGCACTAGGGCTTAGGCTTAGATTTTTGGGGGAAATTTTATAATGTTAAGGATAGTTCCCCCTAGTGCCTGGTGGATCTCCTCACTGGAGGGTTGAAAAAAATCACTTAACCGTTGAATTGCAGTTGCTGGGGTACAGTCAGCCTGCCTTGGGATTGAGAAGGTATGAGAGAAAGGAAAAGTCAACTCCCGCTTTATTTCCTTTGTTCACATGAATCTTCACATGCCCTAAGCCAGTGGTTTCAACTGAGGGTCAACAATACCGATCAGGCTTTGTATCTCATCTATTGACTTGCTGAACTCCACCCTGGATGTGTTCCGTTGTCTTCTTCAGGCCCTGAGCTGCTCCTTCCTGGTTGTACTAAATGATAACATCCAAACTATGCTGCTTCCTTCATTGCAGTAGCTCTTCCTCACTTCTAGTCTGCTTTACTTTTGGGGTGATAAAACTGCAGCCTGTACTGTACATTCCCTGCCCTCTCTAAAGTGCTGTTTGGATCTGCAGACTTCTACCTCCAGTTGTTTTGTAACTGAATTATTTGTGTGCATACTTTGTCTTTGATCCAGGATGAACCAAGACAGAACCAGGACAGCTCCTATAAGGCTGTCTTCTTAAGATACGCTAAGCAGGTATCCTATCTAAAACATCTTGCTGAAAAATAAATAAAAAAGGCATGTGGACTTGAAAAACAAAAACTGATCTCTGATGTTGATACAAATACATTTAGAAAAATGGTTTTTGGAAATGTAGCTCCATTCTCAAGCAGATACTGCAAAAACAGTATTGATTCACCTGCCAAAACTACCAGAAAAATGGGACATTCAGCTGGGATAGATTGGCTAGACCCATATATCAGAGGAGGATTGGAGATGTGTGGTTTTGCTGGTGATGCGCTTGCATGTATGTGCTTTTTTTTTTTTTTTTGGCTTTGGTTTATTTATTTACTGAAAGCAATTAGAAAGCCTTGGGTATTCCCCCCTCTCATCAGCATCATTTTCTGTTTGCCTTCACAGCATTTGGAAACCAGACATCAGTCAGTGTTTGAGTAATTGATTCCTGCTCTTTCTGAGCCAAACTCTGTGTGTTCACAGGAGATGCTTTTAATGGTTTAATAAACTGTTATAAAGAACTCCTCGACTTAGTCAAGAGGAAAAAAAAATCACTGCCAAAAGTCTTTGCACAATGGGCCTCTTGCAGTCAATAGTTATATCTGTGCGTGAAGGCAAAAATGAACAGGGGCTGCCATGCTGAATGCCTTGGGGGTGTCTCAGGAGGGAGGCAGTCAGGTTCACTGGTGGGTTGGGTGGCTCAGAAGGAAGTGAGCAGCAGCGCCTGCGCTCCCAGCCCACTCACCCAGCTGCCTGCTATGCCTGACCATCGGCAGCTCCCCAGCTAGGGGCTGGTGAAGTCAGCAAGCTTTCCCATCACTGCTGAAAATACCCCATGGTGATGGGAATGCCTGTAACTCCCCCGCAGGCTCT